TTGATTTATGTTTCTTCGTCTACTTAATTGTCATTGACTTTGACTTATTCTTTATCATCTTTTTCTTTTTGAACAATTGTTCTTCTCCATTCTCTTTTGGTTTGTCATTGTCTTTCTCTTCCGATTATTCTTTTTCATCGTTTTCGTCTTCTCTGACTTAATATTTTTTCAGTTTTCTTCATCTTCTACATTTTCATCTCTATCTTCTTCTTTTTCTTCCTCTTCTTTATATTCTTATTTTTATTCTTCATGTTATTTTTGTTTATTTCTTAATCATCTTGGACTTCTTATTTTTTATAATCTTTGTTTTCTTCGATTTCTTCTTCTTCTTTTCTTTTGTTTTTTATTCCTCTTGTTTTTGTTCTTCTTCCTTCTTATAATTCATCACATTTTTCTTCTTTGTTTTCTTTAATTTCTTGTTCTAAATTTCTCTTAGCTTCCTTTCCCATCTTCACATTCTCATACTTTGTCATATTCAACTTCGGTTTTCCTTCCTTATCTTGAACATATATGTCCTCGTATTTTTCAAGTTTTTCTTAATCAGCTCTCTCTTCTTCTCCTCCTCTTTTTTGCTCTCATCTTCCTTGTTTCCTTCTACATCTTCATCCTCTACAACTTTGACTTCTACTTCTTTATTGTCTTTGTCTTCTCCAACACCTGCTTCTTCTTTTAGTTTTGTTTTTTCTTTGTCTTATTTCTTTTGAGTTTTCTTTAATCTATCATTCTTACTTATCTCGTCTTTGTCTTCTTCCCCTTCTGCTTCCTCTTCTGATCTTCCTCATTGTATTTTTCTTCTTCTTTTTTCTTATTTTCTTTGACTTATTTTTCATAATATTCATAATCTCAACTTCTTCTTTTTTCCACTTTCTTACTTCCCCTCTTCTTCCTCTTATTCTTCTACTACTTTGTTTTCTCATTTTTTATTTTTCTCTAACCTCTCAAGCGTCTGATTCTTTTTCTTCTTCTTCTTCAACTTTCTCATCTTGTTATCCTTATGTGTCTTCATTAGTTTGGGTTATCCACCTTTTTATTTTTCTTTTTGGAATTAATTGATATGACTTTGTCTTTGTCTTTTTGACTTCTTCGTCATCTATTTGTCTTCTTTTCTGCTTCTTCTTCTTTTATATCCTTCGACTTCTTCTGTAGTTTTTTTCTCTTATTTTGAATAGGATTTACAATTGATAGTTGTATTGATTTGTACATAATCAATTTCCTTAAAGATAGTATAATAATTCTTGTGCAATAAAAAAAGAGAACGTAAGATTTGTGGGCTAACATGTTTTTTTATCGTTGTTTGCTCTGATTATGCTACTTCTAATGAGGTTTTGTAAGACTTATTTTCATGCAATCAAAATCAAATTCAGATGAAACACTTTTACAATACACAACTTTTCAAAAAAGATATCTCATTGCTCTCATTGGAAATTAGACCATAATGTCCGTTTCACATGTATTATAATAATAAAATGATTAAAAGTTGCAACAAAGCTGTAGAAGTTCAGGAACAAATTTTCCGTCATGCTTATTTCCTATTTTGTTCTCTTAGTTTACCATCTTAACCATCTTGGCCATCTCTTCATTCTCCTTCTTCATATCAGTCGCATATTTTTTTGAAATCAAAACAGCTTCATCATTTCAAGTATTATTTTCTTGTACCTTACGTTTATGAAACCACTTATATATTTAAATTATCTAAATTTAAAAAACAATTACAGTTAATATATAAATGTATTATAGTATCTATCATATATAAATAAAATGGTATTTATATGTGTTACCTCTGATCAAAAAATATTGTACAAAAAAACAAAATCCTAAAATATGTTTTTTCCTTAATTTTTCTTTATTCTTCAATATCTGTGATTTCTTCCTGCTTGTTTTTATCGTCTTCATTTTTTCCGACTTCTTTTCACTGTCTCCAATTTCTTCATTTTCTTTCTTATCTCATATTGATCGTCTTGATATACTATTATTCAGGTTTTTCTTCGTCTTTTACTTTTCTGCTTTGTCTAATTTAACTAATTTCTTTTTGCTGTTATCATGTATTATATTAAATTAATGAGAGTGTTGTATCTTTTAAACAAAAAAAAACCATTAAGACCGTATTAGATTGATCGGTTGAATTGACTTTAAAAGCTTGATTTTTAGTAAGATTAGTGAAAATAAATAAAAAAGCTATGATTTTTTAGGAAAAAACTTAATTAAACTGGTTTCACTTAATCGATTTAAGAAGGATCTAATTTTTTGATCCAAAATCTCCTTGTATATATATATCAAGACTAATACAATATAAAAAAACATAAAGTAAAGCTCTAAAGATAGAGTTTTGTTTTTCTTTTTTTGTATGTTTTTCTTAATACATATGAAATGGGGTGAATCGATCAAGTAGTGTCCCTGTTCTTGTTATGCTCATCAGATACAATTGCTCAAGTATATATATTTTTTACTTTCAAACATCTGATGAGCAAATATCAAAACATAAACGTATTTCAGAGTCCTCGGTTAAAGGAATAATATCAACAGAAAGACACAAAAAGAAGTATACTAATGTTTTGTAAATGTTAAGAACCACAGATATTCAGTAGTCAGTCACATTATTGTCACTTCTAAGTTTGAAAAATTTTAAATCACGGTCGGTGTTTACTTACACACACGCACATAATAGGTGTCACATAAAGCATCAGACACAAAATACAAAGATACCAATTTTAGCTCATGATTTTAAAGCTAACGTGAGCTCCAATCTAAATCAAAGAATGCTACTACTATTTGAACTGGTAAACCGTAGTTATGGAACACCCTAATCCTACCATCCCAAGTTGCTGTCACGATCACAAGCCCCCACAGGTGCGGCGTACAAGGGTTGACGTTCTCGCACACGTTCCTCAAGAGCCTCAGCTTAGACATGATGCATGCTTTAGCTGAAATCGTTGCTGCACCTGCACCTATTACTACACCAAGCTTCTCTTCTTGCCACGTTGTTGCTCCTTTCATTGGAGAGAGACAGTCCATCCGCAACAGGAAATAAGCAATTTTTTCGCAGATCAGCAATGAAACTGTCCCCCTCTTTCCCCTTGCCTAGTCAAGGTATGGCAACAGACATAAGACCTGATCGTTTTTGGTTTCTGAGAAGAAAAAGCCTTCTTATTTGGTTGAGAGTAGTCTCATACATGAATCACTGAGCCCTTTACTGCTGACACAATGTGTTTCCAGCAAAGCAGAGGTTGGTCTCAGTGTTGTCCTAAGACTGGAAGCTGCAAAACATCCACCAAGAAAATAAGAAAAACTATTATATCAAAACAAACTCATAGAAGAATTCACCTCAGCACTGAAATTCCACTGTCTTTAGAACTTCATACAAAACGGAAGAGATTATGCGTGCAAACCCTCAAACGTGATACACAAGAACTTGTACCTCGGTAAACTAAAAAAATACAACAAAGACAAATGATCTGATATCCCAAGAGTTAAATCGACCAATAAATAAACAAACAAAGTTCTTTTATCAAACACAGTTTTGTCTGATAATACATGGCCTATATCTGCTTGTGTTATAAAGAGGACCCGAGCCAAAATTTTATAAAGAAACAAACAAAAAAAAGGTTCCCTTTCAATAAAACTGAGGACTGTGAATCTCTAAGGCAGATATCAAGTGACATCATATCAAGTGTACACTGATCCTCCTCATGTATTCTGTTAGGATCTAGAACATAAGTAAATGTAACAATGGAAGAAACTAACGACAGAACCATGTGTTAAAAAAAAAAAAGAGGAGGGAGGCGCATGTTATACAAAAGTTGTTATGAAATGTCTCAAGAATCTAGTAAATAAAAAACAGAGACAGCAGAACATAATACACAAAGATTGTGCCATTAAACGTAGAGTGATGGGAATTCTGAATTCTGGAGAATTCGACCATTGCGAAACAAACGATTATAATCCATCCAACCCATAAATTGTGTGCACCTCTCAAGGTGTAAACCTTGACATGTCAAAATTGTAATAATCTTTTAGAAGAATATCAAACTATACATGTAAGTGAATAATAATAAAATACAAATGCAAGTAATCACGAAGAAAAGAAAGTCGTGGAACCAACTTACTTTTAAGGAACAATAACATTATCACAAAAAAAAAGGAATATGGACTTACGCTTACCCTTCAGATTCACGACCAGGTTGAGGCAGGTGGAAGCTCAAAACGGGAACATCTGAATTAAAGAGAGAGAAAATTCAGACAAATTACTTGAAGCTTTGTAATTGAAACGATGCATCATTCAACTTTGCAATATTAGCGATGCATCTTAAAATCATAACCACGAAGTATAGAATTAGAATTTTTTTTAATACAAAACGATGCATCTCTAAAAAATATAAGCGATGGATCATAAGTTGTCTAATTGCATAAAAATTAAACCGAACGAATATATCAAGAGAACAAATCGATAAGTCTACCTCTTGACATGTTGTCCATTGTATAAACCACCAACGAAGATAACCTAATCAAAATCAGCATAGTGTAAGGTATATATCAATATAAGACTACAAACTCGAATTAAAAGAAACTAATTCAAACACAAAACAGTGAAAAGAACATAACAGAACTAAATATGTGATCGGTCATGAGGAAGATTCTTTAAGGAAAAAAATAAAGAAGCTTAGGTTAATTTATATTTACGAACAATAACTGATTACTCCAAAACATTTATGAACACAAATATATAAAAAGATGTTTAGGAACAATTTCAAAGGCCCATAAATCGATGAAAAAAAGCCATGTCACACATATTGACACGTAGGATTAATGATCGTCCTATCAGAATTAATTAAAACGACACATATATAGATTTTAATAATGACACATAAGCAAATCACTCTAAAGACGACACATAGGATTTTTGACTTCGCAAATAATAGTATAGATTTGTTTACTTCACTCCTATCTTGGTCATGTCCTTCTGAATGATATTAATGAACTGATATTTCACTATGAAATGATATTGTTTACTTTTTACACAGTTTTTAAGTTTTATGATCAAAATTATGTTTCCTTACATAAAGAGAAGAGTTATGTTTTAGTTTCAAAGATTTTATATTTTGGTGGAAAATCATTCATAAAACATCCCTGCAAACATCCCTAAAGCTATATAGCTTTCTCCTTTTTATCTGCTCTGTACGTATCATCTAAAGCTACCTCTCGATAGAGAGCTCTTTCTTTTTCAGTTTGTGGAACTAGTTCATTAGTAAGCAGAGCCGTGTCTGGACACAGGCTGAACATCAGCTTCAGGGCCGGTGAGTTTAAAATTTATTTTGGGGCCAATTTTCCATAACTTAAACTAGTCCAGTTGGTCTTGTGTAGTCAGAAACGGGTCATACTTGTTGACTTCCCGAGTTTTATTCTTCTCAGATGTGCGTGTTTGTGACGTTTTTACTTATTTTTAAAAAATGGTCTATCTGTTATCTCACATCGAAAATTTTCAAAATTTAGAAAGGGAAGCTGCACTATAAATAAGAGTGAACTGATACCCTTAGCTATTTAATTGCGGGTTTTAGCTGCACTAATAAGAGTTTTATTTAAAAATTGTAATTGGCTTTTAACAAAGAAAAATGTTTAAAAGGGCCAATTTTATTTTTTTGGCTTGTAGTCCGTGAAAATTCAGGCACAGCTCTGATAGTAGGTAAGGTAAATAATTTTTTTTTGTTTACCTGCGAGAAAGTAGCTAAAAGATTATATTCAATTAATCTTATACTATTAAATGAGAAATACATTTAGATCTTTGATATCGGTATTACATGGTATATTACAATGAATGTCATTAAAGAAATATGTAATTTACGACAAAAAAAAATTCAAACCAAAGAGAATCCGCATCATTTTAGGTTGACCTGTTTAGAAGGACGTGGATCCTAATAAGTGACCCGTTTTCTATTTTTCAGCATTTTTGAGAAAAATCTTAATTGTAAACATAGTTGACAAATTTAAACAAAACACTATATTCGGAACAGTTATAACAATATACTATAATCTGTGAATATTATTCTGTAATTAATTTTTTCAACTTATTAAGCATATCCAAATATATACACAATAATAACTACTTTCCAACAACGACGTATTTGCCTATTTGCCATAATATTGTATTTAATTCAATTTGAACAAAATATATTTCGCCGCCAAAGTATCTTACTTCTTAACGGCATTGAATAAAATTCTCAAATTTTATTCTGAGCTATTTCTATATGTCAATCGATGAGAATATGCTATTACATGCTTTTTTATCGAATATTTATTCCATTAATTTCGCATCACCTTATAGATATTCAATAATAACTAATTTACAAAAAAAAATGGATTCGCTATTAGGCATCAATATTGTGTTCAATTTGAATTGAAAAATTCGACTTGGCCGCCAATTTACATACAACTCACCGGCATTGCGAAAATCCTATATTATTTCACTATAAATACGACAATCCCGTATTCCATTTCACTCCACATCAACTATAATTTTTTTTACTTTAGTTCACTCATACTCTTTGCAATGGCTTCCAACATGAGGTTAATCCCTTTGGCTGACGTTAAGCCCTTCAAGACTGGGTGGAAAGTGCAAGTGAAGGTGCTTCACACATGGAAGCAATATCAGACTAAAAGTAGGGAGTCTTTGGAAATCATTCTCGCAGATGAAATGGTATGATCAAGTGGAGGTAAAATTACATTTTCGTGTTATTAACTATTAATGATTTACTTATAAACATTTTTTATTTAATAGGGTACCAAAATCCACACTACTATCAAAAATATTTTACTGCACCATTTTAAGCGGATGATGGTTGTCAGTGAATAAAAGTTCATCGAGAACTTTACATTGAACCAGGCGTCAAGTCAATATCGGGCCACCAAACATCAATTTAAGATGTCCTTCATAGCATCCACCGTTGTCAGCAAAAGTGCTAATTATACTTGCATGGCTCTTGTGCAGTAATTTCTATATATTCAGCTATATACTTGCTGCTTCAACACATCTCGTAGTCTCCATTTAAAAGAGAATCACTTTCATATCATTTGCAGCTTGTTACAATGTCACGACCAATACCAATCGAACGTAGGAAATAACTAATAACTTCAGAGACTCTCTTTATCATCAGTTTCAAATTTTATCCTTTTTTAACTTGTCTTTTTTGCTGTTCACAGAAATGGTGAGTTCGTTCAAATCATATCACAGAACAACTCAAATGTTCAAGATAGACAACTTCTCTTTATTTAAGAAGCATAAGATCGAAATGGTCGAATCCTCTGTTTTCGATCTCGGTGGTCACAAATGGTGAGCTTTTTTTTCAAATCTTTTTATGCTTTTAACATACAAAATAAACCTAAACCACTTATAGTTAAGCTCAACTATTTTTTTTTTCCATGTTTCTTGACTTGGTTTAAAGCAGGAAACTCGTTGTGTACCCAAATGGGAATAAGAATGGAAATGGTCATGTCTCCATCTTCTTAGAGAATCAAGCTTCAATAGATGTTAAGATCGACTTTGAGGTCTTTTTCGTCAGTCAGAGAAGGCCATTTTAGCACACTTTTCTCTATCAATCTTTCTCTATGCAGACAATATAGAGATATATAGCTGTGTGTATATCTATTGTTGATGTTGCTTCTTTTACTTGTGCAGGAAAAAGGAGCTTTGGTACATCATCAATACCGCAAAGAGTTGGGACTCTGAGTTTGATATCTCTTGCTGATCTTGAGAAAAAAGGATACCTTATTGGAGATTGTTGTATGTTTGGTGCCAAGCTTTATGGGTTTGAACCTGGTGAACCCGCAACAGTGGAATGTTTTAGCCTAATTGAGAAGCCTCTCAATCACAAAGTCACTTGGATGATGACCAAGTTCTCGTCGTTTGACCCTGAAAAGTTCCATCAGTCCAATGAATTTGTTGTTGGAAACCGGAAATGGTGATCAATTCTTACTATTATTTTTTTTTTTCTCAATTGCACTTTACAAAAGTGCAAGTGAAGGTGCTTCAGGATCAATTCTTACTATTATTATTTTTTCTCAATTGCACTATTATTATTTATCTGTAGATTGTTTTTCGGATAGAGTTTTTATTTTTTAACATGAAAATCTTTCTAAATTGTGACATCTAATTCATAAGTAGATCCAATAAATGAAATAACACATAACACATAATTAATAGTTATAAATCAAAATCGTATAACTAATAACAAAAAACTGAACAAAAGTTTTAGAATCAAGGAAATATTGTGGACCAATACGCGTGACTTAACGCGGACTAGTTTACCAGCTTCACTAAGTTTCTCGACCTTTAAAGTAGTTTTTTACCACTTTACCTTTTAACGAAACAAAAACACAAAGTCAAAATTTATAGAGACACATTCGTCTTTCGTCTTTCGTCTTTGTTCCTTATTCGTCTTCTTCGCCGGAAATGATCGTTTAGGTCCATTGTCAACGCCGGTGATGTAAATACTTGCCTTGTTGATTCAGTATCGACTATATGAATCCTGTAAGATTACTTCCCCACTACAAGAAAGATCGGCTTTTACGTCGGCAGATATCGACGTAAAATCGACGTAAAAGAACATTTACGTCGAATTAACGACGAATTACAATTCGTCGTAAAACGATCGTCGTAAAACCCAAATCATCGTAAAATCGTCGTAAAATTACCAACTCCGGAAAATCGTCGTAAAATCGTCGGAAACAATTCGTCGTAAATGCGACGTAAAATTTCCAACGGATGTACAACAAAATAACTCCATCATAAGAACGACGTAAAATCGATGTAAAATTACATCGATTTAACAACGATTAGGAGACGAAGAATTTCAATTAAGGAAAAAATAAATTTTTAATTATCGATGTTAAATTGTCGTAAATTTTCGACGTAAATCCGACGTAAAGTTATTCGTCGTAAATTCGTCGTTAAATTTTTCAAAATTTGACGTAAATTTACGACGAATTTACGTCGATTTATAAATTAATTATTTAATTCGATTTTAATTTAATTAATGAATTTTTAAAATAATAAAAAAATTAAAAATAGAAAAAATTTGAAATTTAAATTCAAAAATAATTTATAAATAAAAAAAATTACTACAAATTGTTTTTTACAAAAAAACCTAATCTATACAAAGTCGTAATCGTCGAGGTTGAGATCGACGTCACGAGGAAGCTCTCCGTCTTGGCCGCCCGTCGCTGCTGGGCCGACGTTTTCCGTCTGCACTACCGGAGCCAAAGACTGACCGCCCGTCGCTGCTGGGACCGGAGCCGAAGTCTGACCGCCCTGCGTCTTCTGCTCCGAGGGTCCAGTACCGGAAGTAGCTCCGGTCTCAAAAACCCTCCGTGCTCGCTGTTGCCTCGCTCGGATTGCGGTGGCCAACTGCGGAACCGCTTCCGCAATGATGTCGAAGAGATCATGGATCTCGGTGAGCTCCTACTTCTGGGCCACTTGCTCATGCCTGAGAGTGGTGATCTCAGCATTGGCCGTAGCAAGCTCTTGGCGAAGCTGCGGATCCTGCGGGCGGTGGAATCCGGAAGCCGTGGCGGCAGGACAGTCTCTAATAGAGCCCATCCCTAAGGTTCGGCCCTTCTTCTTCGGAGCGACCTACAAATGGAAAATAAAAACGTTAATTATTTATTAAGTAACTATAAATATAATAAATTTTTAAAAAATTGAAATAGATCATACCTCTTCGAAAATCTGGTCTTGCTCAGCGACGGTCAACGGTACGTGGATAGTACCGTCAGGTGTGGTCTGGGTCTCCTGCTCGGCGATCCGCTGCATAGCGGCATTGTAGATCTCCTCGGACCGAGCGTCGACAAAGCTCCCGTCCTTCTTCCGGTGAGTGGTCTCGAAGAGCTTCGTCATTGGAGGTAGTTCTCCTCCGTTCTCCTCGGCCTACCAATTAATAAACATTATTAGTCAAAAATATTTAATAAATTATAGTAATAAATAAAATTAAAATAATAATGAAATAAATTATATTTAATTACTTACCATCATGAGACGTCTTCCCGCAAAAGATACTTGGCCAGAAGTGTGCGGGGTCACTAACTTCTCACCAGTCACCGGATCGACCCGGTTTCGGACGGTCGAACACTTAGCAGCGGTGGTTTGGGCATGCGGGTCCACCCAATACGCCTTCAACCCGTTCCAACACCAAGTGGACATGGAGCTCGGCTTTGCGTCGTCACCGTCGGTCTCCCATTTCCGCTTCCAATCGGAAACGGTGTTGACTAGGCGTTTCTTCGCCTTTTCCACGAAGCATCGCGGACCGTCTCGTTGATCCCGATGTCCCAGTTCCACCGTTGCTGCAAAAGAAAACAAAAAATTAGATAAACAATATAAAAGTAAGATTAATTAAATTGAAAACAATTTAAAATGATATAAATAATATTTAAAAAATATTACCGCGAAGCACTTGTACCAGGTGTCGCACGTCTCTTGCGACACCTTGCTCCAATTGTAGTGCGGCTCCACGAAATGACTCTTAATGCAGTCGGAAACGCTCCGACCGACACAATTATCCAAAGTAAACCTATGAAACAAAAAAAAAATTATTACATTAATATTTAAGTAAATTAAAGCGTTAATTTAAAAACTATAAAAAACAAAAAAGTTTACTTACCAATAAGAGCCTGGTTCCGCTTTTCCGGGAACCAGACGTCGTAAAGCCCCCGTCCCGGTAAGGCTAGTAAATCCTCAACCGTAAACTGGGCATACGGATGAGGAGGGACGGGTACCGGTTCGGCAGCCGGGGCGGGTACCGGTTCGGGAGCCGGTGGAGGAGGCGGTGGTGGAGGCGGTGGTGGAGGCGGTGGTGGAGACGGCTCCGTGGTATTCGTAACCTGAGAGGCTCCGGAAGATGACGAAGGGACATCGGTCCCGGTGTTTCCCGAGGCAGACGCTCGGGAAGAATGTCCGTCCGCCATGAAATTGATGTAATGCGTCTTCCGTCGAGGCATCGTCTGCAAAACGGAAAAAAATTTATTTTTCAAATTAATTACAATTTCGATCCTAAATCTAACAAATTCCGATCCTTAATCTAATAAATTCCGATCCTAAATCTAACAAATTCCAAGCCTAAACTAATTCCCGACCTAAACCGTTTGAATTTCTAAACTATTTAAAATTATTATAATTTGAAATAATTAAAAAAAATTATTTACCTTTTTTTTTTGCGTCGAAAGGAGGAGGTGGGAAGGAGGAAGCAGAGAGAGCGAGAGAGGAAGGAGAGATGAGCGACGAAATGAGGAAGGGGTGAGGTCCTATATATAGAATTTATATTCGTCGTAAATTCGACGTAAATATTACGTCGAATTTACGACGAATCCGTCGTAAATTCGTCGCAAAGTTCCCACCGTACACAAAGCGAATAAGACAAACACACGTGGGTGTATCTGGACTTTGCGACGAATTTACGACGATCCGTGTAATTCGTCGTAAATTCGTCGTAACATTACGACGAATTTACGACGAATCGTATAAATCATTAAAATTAAAACGGCTGTGTATACACATATCGTCGTAAATTCGTCGTAATATTACGACGAATTAACGACAAATTATACAAAACTGATGAAATTCAAAAATTGAAACATCCATAAGGACATACAAGCATGTCTATTCATGATAAATGTGGTGTGTATAACTTTCTAACATGTTTACATAACTTAATGAAGATTTTAGTAAGATGTAAGATAAATCCATACATCTTGTGTAAATGTATATAACACATATATGTCAATTTTAGAATTTTTTTTTTTTTTTTTGTTTAGAAAGTTGTTTTACCTTATGAGATGGTAAGCCATTTCATTCTCTTCATCAAAATCCCCCCAGAACCCCATAAAAGATTGATTTTAAGATTTAGGGGTTACATTTCGTCGTAATCTCGATGGTATATTACGACGAATTTACGACAATTACTCCCATTCGTCGTAAATTCGTCGTAAAAACCACATTTCTATAAATTCCTGAACCTTACACTACAGACCCTTATATAATACATCAGTTTACTTAGGAAAATGAACCCAAAAACCATTTTGTAAGTTGGGAAAGCTAAATCCTATAGGGTTTAGGGTTTGCATGTTACGACGAAGTTACGACGATTTCTTAATAGTCGTCGTAAATTCGTCATAAAAGTCAACATATGTTCAAGTCAACACATAAACAAATTTTCAATCTTCATATTATAGAGGTATGGTGGATCACTTGATGAAATAAGGAGCACCTACCATTTTCTTGTACAATCATTGTCACTGTTATCTTCCTCTTCAGCATCCTCATCAATAAATTTTCTAACTGGGTCCCCAGGAGATGAAAACAAGAAGCTTATATAAACAAAAATTTAAATTTGACAAATGTTACAGTGAAACGTTCAAAGCATGCAATTAATTAATGTCAACATATTTAATTAGTCTTCATCAACATTTTCCTCGGTGTCCTCATCATCATTGTCATCATCATCACTGCTTGTCGTAAATTCGTCAGCACCTTCTTCAGTTTCGTCCCCATGTAGATCTTCAACTTGTCGATTACGTGGATCAATTAAAAGAACATTTTCTTCAACATCCGGTTCTGTAATGTGGACACAATCATCTTGTTGCATTGGCGGGAGATCTACACCATCAATTATACCCCGTGGAGCAACTTTGACAACCGCCAGCCATGAAATTCCCGTATTCCGAACTCGAGGATATGGAACAAAGGTGACTTGTTCTGCTTGAGATGCAAGTATAAATGGCTCGAACTTATTGTATCGCCGAGATGCGTTTACATCTACCACTCCAAATTTGTTCATGCGCACTCCACGACCTACCGTAGGATCAAACCAATCACATTTGAATAGAACAGTTTTCATTCTGACTAATCCGGGGTATTCCACTTCAATTATCTCTTTGATGATCCCATAAAAGTCTACTTCACCTCGTACACAAAC